AGTTGAACTGGAAATTTGTCCACTACACCTAATGCTTGAGTGGACATCATCAGATTAAGCTGTCTGAGAAGAATTTGTTCATCATCGTCCATAATCATACTCAAAAACTCATAAAAACAAGCTGAAGCGCGATTCTGTATGGGCGCCGACATTTTGAATAAACTACAGTCGGTACTAATCCCATTCGGCTGTGATGGATGCCCGCTAGTCGTCTGGTCGGAACCGAGGTATCACAGCCGAAGGCGGCCCTGGTGACAGTTTGTAATGTCTGTGTCTGTCTCTACCCTCCCTCTAAGCAATGGAGTACTGTCCCCGATGATAAAGAAAACGCGAGTTTCAGGTCCCGAAACGATCGATGCAGCACGAGTGCACAGCATGTGCTTGCGTTTGTTTCTGCAGCTCTTCCGTAAGGACCTGATCAGCGCGATGAAGCTCGGTGACAGCGAGCAGCTGCCGCCGCACAGCTATCTGATGATCAGCGACTCCTGGCGGCAGGAATGGGAACGCGGCGTGCAGATTCCAGTCAATCCAGACGAGCTACCGCAACCCGCTGCCAGGTGGAGCCGCTCTCCTGCCATGTTCTCGTGTTTCCTCTTAGCTAGTGGATCGTTTGATGTCAGTTTGTGATGTGTCGTTTGCATTATCGGAGCACATGTTTGTCTGACGTCGGTATTTTTTTTGGCTGCATGTAAAAACATCGATCAGCACTGTCAGCTGTCATTGTGTCAATGGGAAAATTTTCCAGCCGCAGACAATTCAGATAATTTAGTTTAGTAATTTTTAATTAACAATTAATGCAGAGAATTATTCACATTTCTGTCAATACCACCTCGTCCTCGGCGTCAGCATCGCTAACGTGTACCTCTGCTATCTCGCGTCGTTGCTCACCCCCCTCGTGCTCGCGTCGTTGCTCACCCCCCTCGTGCTCGCGTCGTTGCTCACCGTGCTCGTGTTCCCGCAGGCTCGTGACGACAGCACTGACACAGCGGTGCGACTTCCGGCTACCAAAGAAGCTTCTGCGCGCTGCAAATGGCGGCGACGACGACGCGGCGACCTATGGCGGCGGCACGCACGTCTCTCACACGCTGGACGAGCGCGCGGAACGCACGTGTCGCTACGATCTCGATGACATCGATCTCTTCTGGCTCGACCGCGTCAACGACGATCGCAGAGCCAGCGGTGAGCGTCCCCTGGTTGGACTAGCGAGTGTGATGTTGTGTGAGGGAGTAATTGTGGGCGAAATGTGTGAGAGTGTGATGTGACTCCGAGAGCGTGGGTTATTGTTGGCCATTGTCGCGTGGTAGATTTTCCTGGTTTATAAATCTGTACGTTTGTTGGTGATAACGTGTAGTAGTTATAGTGGAAATGTCGCAGCGATGGTATTTTTTGGCATAAAGTAACAAAGGGGTATGTTCTGGTCAAACAATTTCTACATTAGTTGCTGATATCGTGCATAAATAGTATTAGTAATTATGGTTGAAAATGAAAGTCAAGATGCTCACATTAACACAAAGTGAAAACCTCGTGTTTTATCGTAAGTAAATCATACACAATTTAACTCATTTCTTTCTTGTAATTTTTTCTAGGTGGTAACCCTATTGTTGAGGCACCGATGGAACAAATAATAGAAGAACTTGAAGTGCAGGTGAGAAGATGTGCGGTAATGATTGATATGATTAGTAGGTGACAGCACAGTGTGTGACACTACATGAGAAGCCCAAAGGATGAAAAGCCCAGTAATGCAGATTATTGTTATTAGTTGCTGTTGCTGTTAGGTGTGTAGAGATGGTAATATTTATACTAAGATTATGTCTCCAGGAGTTTCTTTACAAAACGCAATAAGTATTGTAGTATGGGAATATTGCACTTGTGAAGTATTTGTTTAGCTGGACCTATATATCATATATGTATATATAATGATTAATCCGGCTAGTAGAGGGCAGCTCGGTGAATTTTTTAAAGTTAACAGCACGGAAAGTCGAAACTGACCCCAGTGAGTGGAATTGGTTGTATGCAGAACAAACACTGGCATGCAAATGATATTCATAGTCAAGCTAAGAATTTTTTTGTAAGGTAATCTGTTCTGAATCGATGTATTTGATGTATATTTTCAGTCACACATGAGCTTAGAGAGGGCGATGCGATATGAGGAAGGCCTTGGAATTGAATACGATGATGACACTATATGTACTGTCTGCCGATCAGTAAGTATTCTATTGTTGCTGCCTCTTACATGCTTGCTCTCACAAAGGTTTACTCTTTTTGTTGTAGCTTAACTTTAGCTTCTTCACATACGTGCTAAAGAAAGAGAAATTTGTCATTCATTGTTTAGTACGTGGAATAGATTTGTGTGACGTTCAGTGTTAGGTTGATAATTTTATATTATGTCAGTGATGGAGGTGCCTGTGCTACCTCAATGATTGACGTTGATTCTTCTCTATGACAGCCCGACTATGAGGAAGGCAATGAGATGGTATTCTGCGATGGATGTGACATTGCTGTGCATCAGGTGAGCCAAAGCCTGCACTCGCTTAGAACAACTAAACACGGTTATGATTTGAAAAGGGGTGCATCCGATCTGTTTGGGCACCAGTCGGGACTTGTGTTTCAATTGTGTTAAAAATGTTTGCGTCATGCTTCATGTAACTATCATGTTTGATTTCTATGTTACAAATAATTGCAATACGTGATTCAGACGGTAAACAGGGAGTTGCTGACCATAATCTCACCTCTGTACAGTGCTGTACTGAATCGTACTGTACAGTGCTGTACTGAATCGTACTGTACAGTGCTGTACTGAATCGTACTGTACAGTGCTGTACTGAATCGTACTGTACAGTGCTGTGCTGAATCGTACTGTACAGTGCTGTACTGAATCGTACTGTACAGTGCTGTGCTGAATCGTACTGTACAGTGCTGTACTGAATCGTACTGTACAGTGCTGTGCTGAATCGTACTGTACAGTGCTGTACTGAATCGTACTGTACAGTGCTTTACTGAGCTGTACTGAATCATACTGTACAGTGCTGTACTGAATCATACTGTACAGTGCTGAACCGTAATGTGCTGTACTATATCTGACACTGGTTATCCATGCTTTGAATGCAGGCTTGCTACGGAATCCAGGTGATCCCACCAGGAGACTGGTTGTGCCGGTGCTGTGCTCTCGGCATCCGTCCGCAGTGCATGTTCTGTCCTCAGCGCGGCGGAGCAATGAAACCCACAAAGTGAGTCTTCGTCGTTGCGGTCTGGCTTGACCTGACTTGCAAATGATGAGTCGTCAGCGATGTTGTCGCATACCAGAAGTTTACCGAACATTCGTGTTCTATGTTCAGCGATTTTTTAGTGTCCAAGCTAGCCTGTGGAAGTTTGTGATTGGTTCTTGCAGTTTGCCGGGGAGCTTGGCATATACTAGTATAAATAGTAGTATAGTTTATGATTTAAAGTGGTTGTGCCTGGCTGCATGTGGTCGTGGAGTGCCCCCATCGAGATTTCATACTCAGCGTCTTACTACCTTCATCGAGTGTTCAGCAGCGATTCAGTTAATAACGTAAACTAATGCTATGACTGCTGATGTCTTTCATGCAGGAGCGGTACTAAGTGGGCTCATGTCAGCTGTGCGCTCTGGATTCCGGAGGTGCGCATCGGCTCGCCGGAGCTGATGGAGCCGATCACGGACATCGCCGCTATACCGGCGAGTCGCTGGGACCTCGTGTGCTGTGTGTGCCAGGAAAAGGTTGGAGCATGTATACAGTGCACGGTGAGGATCCACAATCACACATATATATATAATATATATATATAATCATATTATATATATATATATATATATATATATATATAAATATATATATATATTTATATATATATATGATTACTATATAAGTTCGTACGAGAAGAAGAGACGGAAGGGGTAAGAACAAGAATTAAAAAATAAGTGATCAGTTGATAAATGGGAATTGATGTTAAATAGAAGACTTACGTGAGAGAGCTGAGAGAAGACAGAGAGAGAGAAAGAAAGTATGGGAGGGAGGAGGGATGAGAGAAAAGAGGAGACGAGAGAGAGAGGAGATGAGAGAGAGAGACTGAGAGAGAGAGAGATTGGAGAGAGAGAGACAGGGAGAGTGAGAGTGAAGCAGGGTCTTGGCCCTATTGTCTGGCAGAATTGTCTGGCTAAGGATATTACCAACTGAAGGCTAAGATCTTTTAGGGTGTGTGTATCTTAGTGATGCCTTGGAGTATATTGGCGTTATTTATGCATCACAGGTAAAGTCATGTAAGAAGGCATTCCACGTAACATGTGGCTTCACTGCTAATCTACGTATGGAGCAGAAACTATCCGATGAACCGGGAGAGCAAGGATCAACTTACTGGTAATATAAGTAACTGTGGATTTCACGTGTTCAAACAACCAGAATACTATCTTGCTCCGCTTGCCAGTGCTTTCTTGCTAATTGCTGTATCTGCAATGTGTGTTACTACAGCTTGATTTCTATAGTTTATCCGTCACGAGCACAACCATTGTTAAATATCTTGGGCACCTAAACAAATGTAACGTTTCAAATGATATACGTGTTTGTTACCTCCGCCAGGGGCGTGGCGCAGGTTATGTTTTCACCGGCGTGCCATTGGAGTGTTGGTTTGTGTGGTGTGTTTACCATGACGTTTCAGTGTCAACTTCCGCCTAGGTGCGGCTGGGCTGTAGACTCTACAAACACAGACGGTAAGCGGCAACCACCAGTCCTCCCCACCTGCACGCTCGTGCACTACTACCGATCACATTTAATTAATTTTTCCACTTAATTAATTAATTAATTAATAAAAAATTTCACATTGAGAGAATTCAGCTGCCTTGGCGGAGGTCTATGCTCTCCGAGTGCTCTAGTTATATATGTTTTGTACGTGTGTGTGTGCGTGCTTGCGTGTGCGTGCTTGCGTGTGCGTGTGAATATATGATGTCCTCTATCGTGTTCGAGGGATGCAACTGACATTGTGATGATTTTAGGGATACTGCGCACGTCACGTCATCACGCCGAGGAAGAAACAAGACTCAGCCAAGCGGTCGCCGACGAAGAAGGAGACTGCTAACGAACGCAACGCTAGGTGTGCTAGCTATACACAGATCTAATCTAGTATAGTGGCTGCATTGTCCGTAGTAATTCTCCGGTGTAGTTACATGGAGGGTGTACTGTTTATGCTGTGGTATTGCCGCATAGTGTTTGTGCAAAACTACGTTAAAGTTTGTGTATGTACAAATTATTCTGTTAAACCTGTAAAGTTTGTATCTGTGCAGGATCTACCGTGTGCAGCAGGAATTCTACAAGAACACGAGCATTCGATCAATCGCTAGCAACTTGCAGGCGGACGATGCTGACGTGGATCTCATCTGTCAGTACTGGAAGCTGAAGAGAACGGTTTGTAGGACCACCCACGAAAAATATCTGTTTGCTGTTTACCCCGCCAGACCATTCAGGATCAAACTTGTGCTTGCTTTGAAACTTAATAATCGTCACTATCAAAAGTGTGTTTGAGTGCATGCATCCGTGTGTGCTTATGACTATTTAATTGTGTGTATTAAATTCCTACCTACCCACCCATTGTACCTACTGTATAGTATTTAGGTTCTGGTATCATTTTGTGTAATTATATATACCGTACTATATTGCATTGTATGGGAGATTATATCTAGAGGTGGCACATATCTATCTTCCCATTTCAGAGCGAATTCACCCGACCCTTGCTAACGCCGAAGAAGTATGAGGAAGACCTGCTTCTGAAGCAGGAAGAAGACAGCTTATGTGAACGTCTCAAGATGCTCATTTACGTACGACAAGACCTAGAAAGGGTAAGCACCAAGTGGCACTCGCTAAGCCTAGCCAACATGATTAATGTTTGCCTGTTAACCGTGTACCACGGGTTTTCCCATTATATCGTGTTGTAATATGTCTATTGACTAGCGTGATACAGTGTTCGAAATTCACGTCGGCCCGTCGGCCCGCCGCCGGCAGTTTCGATGCCGGGCCTACAGCTTCTTGATCAAACAGGCCCGCTGATCCTACAGCTATTTGATCACCGAAAATTCGAAACACTGAGAAACTGTTACCTGTAGAAATCTGTTCATGCATATTAACTTCCAGGCGTATTTATTTGAAAACTAATCCGTGATAAACCGTGACATACATGTAAACAATGCGTTCGCCCACTGCAATCAACTTTAGTTGGCATTCAAAAGAGATCCGCGCGCACCGTTCGCGTGGATTTCGGACCACCATTAGTCACAGTTCCTGAATCCCTCGATACCACGTTGCATACCACAAAATCGAATAAAAAGGCTGGACCTTACTTTGTGCCAGTCGTAGCGAACCTTTTACATTGGTGTTGCCAGAGCGTGTTCAGCCGAGAGCGAGGCGCTCGAGACGAACGCTCGCATGAAACAACGCAGCGCCTTCCTAACGCACACGACGACGCTCGCTGGTGCGCTCGCTTGTCGCTCGCTCGATCATAAGCGATGCGGGGCCGCCCCCATGCGGGGAAGGGGGGGACTCAGCAATTTAATCGCGAAGCAACAAAGTACTGTTAAACGATATTAGCAGACGAAATTGCAATACATAATTGAATTTTAGAAGGGAAATGAATGACGATGAAAACGTGAAAATAGAAAGTTGAAATAGATTGCCCCAAGAATTGACGTCAGGAAATGTAGCCATTGCGGCATTCGCCAGATTTTTCGCGCCCATGCTGCTAGACAACTCGCCGCACTGACGCTAACAGAGGCCTGTCAGGAGACCAACGCTCGCTGCGGAGGGCCGCTCGCTCGGGTGGAGGCGGCGCGGGGGCGGCTCGCCCTTGGGCTGAACGACAGGGCTGCGCGGCGAGGGGCGAACGCCCACGGGTGCGAGCGAGCGTCAGGTTGGCGCGCAGTTGAAAAAGCTGTGTCGCTCAGTGGGGTCGGCGTGAGAGCTTTACAAGGGATGGCGCGCCGAAAAATTCTGGTGGGTGAGCCGGATATGCGAATCTAACATTCTGACGTCAATTTGCTAATGCGCTATTCAACTTATTCACTTTTCAGTCATTCATATTCTAATTCAATTGGGGTGATGCGAGTCACTTTCCGTCGCGGTCTTCAATGTCGGGTTTAAGAGTAGCTTGTATCTGCTTGCGCATTACAAATTGCTGCGAGTAACCCGCTCCGATGGGGGGCCCGCCATCTTTGATCAACCCGCGGAGCGCTCGTGTGTCATTCACAGGCAGCGTCGTGTGTCGTTCAGGAGGCCTCACGTGTGCGTTCACGATCGCGTTCGCATCGATAGGTTGGCTCCGCTCTGCTCTCGCTAACACGCCTCAGGGCTGTTTGCAAAGCTTGCCGGGCTCGAACGCGTCGCCGTCTGCGCGGGGAGCTTCGTCAAGAAGGGTCGAGAGCTAGGGCGGGGGGAGGCGGATGCGAGCGCGAGGCGAGGGGCGTTCGTGCTCGGCGAAGCAGGCGCCTCAGGCGGTTTAGTTACGGCACGTCGGAGGCACGCTCACTGTTCACGGGCGGTAGTGCGCGAGGTTGTGATAATCTCACATCCCCCGCGCATTTCACGTTTGGATGTAAAACAAATAAAGTATCACTGCGGTATTATTGACAAACGTATCACGTATACTGTTTTAAAATAATATTAAAGAAGATTTAGCGTAAGTATATCATGTTGAATTAGTGACAGTAAATAATAATAAGTGTCTCAAGTTTAACACAACATGTCATTAAGTCACTGTAGCTGCGGCAGAAGCACGCGTGATGGCGGCTATACTTAGCATAGGTCATGCAACACAGCAGTACGAGCCTTGTCGCACCACTCAGGTTTAACCGTGTCATATTGTTTTTAACGTTTGGAAAAACTATATACATTTTATACAGGGTGTAGCTAAATAAAAGCTTTCCTACGTAAGAGCTTGTATGTCTACAAAATACATTTACTTTTGACACACTCAACACAGACGGAATTCCCCAGTGCCCATCAAAATTTTACATAATTTTTTCCTTTTCCACCAAAAAGTGTTGCTAGTTGTAATGTATTGGAGTACCCTGAAATGGCTCTAGATTGCATCTCAGAGCTTATAATTTTCAAAAACGTTCTGGCCCCCAGACCCCCATAGAAGTCCCCGATGTGTACCAGACTACCAGTCTGTCTCTCTGCTGTCAACGTGGAGAGTCGTAGTTACCAAGGAGCTACATATAACAACGATGTGGCGTTTCCTTATTGTGAGCCCCCGACAAAGAAGCATAAACAGTCATCCGACGAGAGGAAGGAAACACAGAGGGATTATGATTATGGACATTGATAATGACTAATAAACACAAGGAAGAACATGATATGCTGTTTTATTACTGTAATTTGCTCCAAAATTGGCGGGCCTACAGCTTCGCTGGCGGGCCTGCAGCTTTTAGGAGCTATAGGCCCTGCAGGCCTACAGCTTTTTCTGCTCAGTGGCAAACACTGAGCGTGATACAGTGAATTTATTACCTAGTGCTATAATATGTCTATTCACTAGCGGAACACCATCTCTGTTATCTTTCATGACAGCATGACTCTTACCTTGTGCCATACTATGTCTATTCACTGGTGTATCATCAGGTCTCTTACATCAGGGGACACCATGTTTATTACTTCACATGACACCATCTTTGTTTCACTATGTCACACCATGTACATTATCCAGCTCGTTTCCAGCTAGTTAACTGGTATGAGTTTGTACAGAGTATTTTCTAGTGTGTCACCGTGTCTGTTACTGTGTGTTATACTGTATATTACCACGTGCCACCATATCTGTTACCTCGCGTGCCACCATGCCTAATAACTCGTGTGATACTGTGTGTTACTCTGTGTGACACTATTACCTCGAGCACGTGACACAATGTCTATTAACTCGTGTGATACTGTGTATGACCCTGTGTGACATTATTACCTCATTCGCTAACGAGCTGCATCTCTGTGACACGTGACACAATGTTTATTAACTGGTGCGATACTATGTATGACCCCGTGTGACATTACCTCATTCGCTAACGAGCGGCATCTCTGTGACACGTGACACAATGTCTATTAACTCGTGCGATACTGTGTATGACCCTGTGTGACATTATTACCTCACTCGCTAACGAGCGGCATCTCTGTGACACGTGACACAATGTCTATTAACTCGTGCGATACTGTGTATGACCCTGTGTGACATTATTACCTCACTCGCTAACGAGCGGCATCTCTGTGACACGTGACACAATGTCTATTAACTCGTGCGATACCGTGTATGACCCTGTGTGACATTATTACCTCGCTCGCTAACGAGCGGCATCTCTGTGACACGTGACACAATGTCTATTAACTCGTGCGATACCGTGTATGACCCTGTGTGACATTATTACCTCGCTCGCTAACGAGCGGCATCTCTGTGGCTGTTGCAGGTGCGCAATCTCTGCTACATGGTCGAGCGGCGTGAGAAACTGAAGCGCAACTGGTACCGCATGCGCGAGGACGTCTTCCTCATGCAGCAGGGCGCGCTGACGCGCTTCAACCGGCTCTCCGAGTTCACGATCAAGCTGCTGGTGGCGGCGAGTCACGACCGCAGCATCTACGACCGCGCGCTCCTCGTCGGTCGCGGCGCGCCGACCTCCTACAAGTCCTGGCAGCACACGTGCGGGCGTAAACCTGGTGCTGCGGGGACGACGAAGACGCCAGGGCGGCGCGGTCGACCCAGGACGGCATCGCCGCAGCTGTGCCGGCGTCCGATCAAACCGGAGGAGCTTCCGCCCAGCGATAACGCCTCGTCCACCGAGACGCCGCGGGTCGACGACCTTGAGACGGGGCGGAGTGTCGACGAGACGCCGGGTGTCGGGGACGCGCAGCGATCGTGCGACGATGCGGAGCCGCATCCGGCGCGAAACGGCGCGAAACGGCGGACTAGCTTCACGAAGGGACGCCGGCGCAAATACCAAAGAAGGGCGCGGCGTCGCGTGCAATCAGCAGACGATGCGTCGGTCGATGTCGATGCAGTGAGGAGCGATCTGGCGCCGTCGGAGCCGCCCGGAGCCGGAGAACACGTCATCAGGGAGTCGCGTAGTACGAGATCTTTGATTAACTTTCAGCGGAACAATCCCGACCAGTCCGTCGATGAATCTCCGAGCAAGACGGCTGTGCGGGCGAACAACAAGAGGTTTCACGCGGCTGATTTCGACGAGGAGGCGGTATCGAGACTTGGCGTCGGTGTCCGGGAATTAGACGCTGCTTCGCGGTCCAGCGATGGAGATACGCGATGCGGGCCGGGCGATTTCGCTCTGGATACTGTCGAACACGATCACGGCTCAAGGCAGAGGGCGCTGCCGTCCCGGCATTCCCGTCGCGGTCTCCCCGAGATGCGAAATGAGCCGACGACGACTGTGGCAGTGAGAGGATGCCGAGCCAACACGCTGGCTGCCGCGCGAGCGCGATACTGCTGCGTCCCGCCAGGGGGCGCCGTCCCCGGGCCGGCGGGAGGCGCCCACCTGCGTGCCAGTTCCACGAACCAGAGGAAGCAACGGGGGATACTGGACGAAGGGCGCGGCGATTCTACGTCTGCATGCACAAGCACAGATGGTCAACGGTTGCCTGCGGAGGACGCCGCGCCGTCGGTCGTAGTCATGGCGACGAAGCGGTTGGTCGGGCGACCGAGCAGGCGGCATCTCATTGCCAGGCCTGTCAGTGTAGATGCACAACCGCGGCGGAGGAGAGGCTGCAACGACCAACTCGTCCCGCGCGCGAAGCGGCGACGACTGGACGGGAATGCTAACCCGGCCGTCGTGACTCGAGGGAGCACGGGTCGCTTAAAGGAAGAGGCGGCAGCAGGCGGCGGAGGGAGCAGACCCAACATGGTGGCAACCTTGAAAAAGACGACCGGCAAATCGCGAAGGGACGCCGAGCAAAAGACGTCCCCGCGGCAGACAGCGCCACCTGGTGAGCTCGTGAACCACGCGCGAGTGCTTGCTACTGCCAGCGTTCGCCGCTCGCCGCGCATCCACCTCGTGAGTGTCGACGTGCGTGACGCCGGCGCCCTCAACGGCCCAACGCCGCACGTGCGCCGCTTGTTTCTCGACGACACGTCCAAGCGGCGGGACCTCGGTAAGCGAGACTCGACTGTGATAGCCGCCGGTGGCGGCAACCCGTCAACCAGACGTGCGTACTCGCTGCGTGCGGGTGTTAGTCAGAGCGGCAGCGGTGCGGCGGGGACGAGCTACGACGCCGCCACGGCCGAGCGAGGGAGCGTGCACGGCGGCAAGGATGGCCGCACTTCCTCCTCCAGAGACACACAGCTCACAGACTCTCCTGCGACCACAGACGAACAAGAAGAATCGCCGCCTGACGCGACGAGGGAGGAGGCGGCCGGCGAGCAGGCGCCCCCTGGCGGTGGAACCCCGAGCGCCGCGGCGCACGGCGGGGAGGGCGGCGCGCGCCAGGACGACGACCGTTAGCTCCCGCGCGGAGACAGGCCGCCGCGACGCCTGCCTCCACGCTCCCCGAGCCGCAGCGCCGCGCGGTCGCCGCCGGCGCGGGAGCCGGGCGGCGGGTCGAGCGGACGCGGCGAGTGCGTCCGGGACGGCGCCCGACGGCAAGGAGAACCTGCTGAAGGAGCTGCGCCGGCTGAAGATGTGGGACGCGGAGATGATGCCGAACCTTGCGCAGCTCTGCAGCACGGACTATATGCCGCGCCGCTCGCAGGAGACGACCGCCAAGGGCGCGGCGATGGCAGCGCCCCCTAGCGACGCGAGCGATTCGTCGCGCGGGCGCCGCTCGAAGACCGCTAGTCCGCGCAACGGTCTGCGCAGCGGCGCCACCCTGGCAGCGGAACTGAGGGTGAGCCTTGACAATGTGCCGATTGATGCTCTTCTCAACATACACTAGGTGCGCGGGGCGGGATCGACGCGTAAGGGCTTCGCTTCCAGCGTTGGCGTCGTGCGGTCGGCTGCAGTGTGTGGAGGCCAGGGGTCAATGTGGCTTTGGAACCACTCGGCACCTTCAGCAGGTGGTCTTTGCAGATGCTGATGGCGCAGAAAGGAGCATTGGGTCATTCTCTCTCGCACATAATCCTGAAACTTGCACTTCATGTAACCGTGCTGAATTGTTGAAATTATGCCATCATAATGCTTCCTGATTAACCTTCTTCTGCTCTGTTTGAGTGCCTCTCCAATACTATAGTGTGTGTCCATCAAATAGCTAGTAAAAATAGCTTGCCTATACACCCAACCAACAACTACTGTTAGCAAGAAATTGTTTGCTTGTCTCCCCAGGTAGTGGGTGGTAAATATATGCTTGTAGTCTATGAAAGCGCGCTGTCATACATCATACTAACATCAAGATCTGGTAATATTCTGGCGCTAGCACTTCTTCACATGTACGTGCATGCATTGTCTCGATAGGTCAGCATGCAGTATGCTTTTAGTATGTGTGTGTGTATATCGGTGCAGTGGGTTTTGCTCTTTAACCAGAATTCATATAACTATCGGGGCTGTGGGCACCGTGCTTTAACCGGTGTGCATGTATGCGTCAGTGCGGCAGCCATTGCGCTTTTACCAGTGTGCATATATATACAATCTATACATACATCTTTATAAGTATATATATATAACTATATAATGACAGTACATATATATAAAGATGTATGTATACATACATCTTTATATCAAGGCAGTGGGAAATGCAAGGCAGTGTTTTTGCTATTGTGAATACATACGTCAGGTCGTGGGCAATGCACCTTTACTAGTGTGAGTATGTACATCAATGCAGTGAGCAATGCACTTTGTTGCATCCTGCTAAGTAAATGGTCGATATTATTAAACGGGTAAAGAAGATACATTTTATAATAGAAGCAGTGTACATATTGCCCCTGCATGTTGATGTTCCTATACGGTATTCAAAGAGAATATCCTCGTGGCCGAGTCGATAGTTGGTGCACAGACGTTTATCTCCTCTGTACACATGCAGACAACTGGCATGTCTCTTCGCAACATAATCGCCCATGCTATCCACCGATGGTCGGATGATGAGCAAGTTTTAACAATCATGAGATTTGAAGTGGAGGGAGTCCTAACAGGTGTCGCCACTAGTGAGCTGATCAGAGCGTTTCATCGTGCATCGTCGCACGTTATCAACATTCGTGATTGCTTGTCGTGTATGTTTGTTTGTAGAGATGCTTGTTAGGGGGCATGTATATGGGTAGATTGTGGAAGGTGGCGTTTTTGTGAGTGCTACTATGGTATTGATGACTGCGTGAGGCCCAGGCAGGAATGAAATGTGGACTCATTCGTAGTGTTTCGTGGATATTGCGGAAGGGAAGTTTAGCCCCAATGATAGCAAAGTTGGTAGTGTTAGGGCAACAGTAGCTATATTATGCGTGGGTAATTGTCGACGACTCAGTCAAGCATTGGCCGCACATGTAAAGACAGTATCTCTGAAGAATCATGTACAGTATTCCATCTGTGTTTGCTTGCTTTATTCGTTTTGCTATGTATTAGTTGTGTCACCACTTCTCGTCTGCAGGACATAGTAAAGGGAGCTTATCTGTATCTGTTATGAAATAATATAGTAATTTGCGATGTGCTTTATTCTTGGAAATGTATAAAAAATATTTTGTAAATAATTACTTTTGTTAACTCACTTCTTATATCTGACTTTCAGCAGTTTTTGAATTATCAATACAGAAAAATATTTACAATTGTGACAGTTAAAAAATAATTTTTAATACAAGATAGTCGTTTACATACACTGAACATTACAGAAATCTATCAGGTAAATACTATCAAATATTTTGTAACACTTATGTGATCAGAGATGAAACGTTTAGACATGATTAATTGATTATTATCAAGTACTGTCCTGCATTTTATAAGTAATGTACAAGTGTTCCAGATAAACCGTCGAATGCAAACCACGTTTTGCAATTGATTATAATTCCAATTGATCATTTCCATTATAAAATTCGTACAGAAATTGCTTTACTTGTTACTGTACAATTAATAGTACTAAGCTCATGCAATCACTTGTCCAGAAATTATTCTATTTAGTTGACAATATAACTGAGGAAATTGTCACTGTTACGTTGCAATAAACACGATGACGATAATGTGTTGTCATCAGTCCTGTAATAATTAACCCAATAAACTCGAATTTTATATATATGCCCTTCTGCTAATGCTAGCCCACTGATATCATACAAGAACAAACCCACTTGAATGTTGAAAATGTACAAAGTAAACAAAATTTTACAAGTACCAGTGACTGGGCCCACAGTGGCTAGATGCTATCGTGCATTATGTGTCAAAGCGCATTTTCTTTGGTAGAGGTCCTTCCTGGAGTTCGTACAGTTCTTTCTCTAGCTGTGCGCAAGCCTGCTCTATCTCGTAATTTTTCGATACCAAGCCAACCCAACTAGAAAGATTGGGAGAAAATTATGGAACCTATCATTAAGTGTCAGTGACATACAGATTAAGAAGACAATATACTTAGTGCACCTGGTTTACAAGAAAGATGAGTATAAATCAACACATGTGATTAAATGTAATGTGTTTCAGTGTAATTGAACACAATAGTGCCGAACACACCTGCTAGAAATTAACCTACACCGTTTGCTCACCTTGACTCCAACTCTTTGAGTTTCTCGCCAGCCTTTGTTTGGTCTTGCTTTCTTGACCAGTTGACTTCTTGGATTAATTTCCTAGAATTTGAATGAAAGTTTGTATAGTACGCTTGTCTAAATACATGGGAGTGGCAATGTGAGTGCAAACTTTTTGTAATCATTATTCTAACTTACTTGACTTCCTGGAGATGCTTTTGCTGTTTGTCCACTAAGTTGACAAGCACACTGTTGTAAAGTTTCCATGAATTTGTCCCATAATTGGCCATCATTTCCAGGTTTGCTACCCTGCAAAGCCAGCAATAAGTTAGCATACAAGTAAAGCAACTCATAAAGTTATTTTCAATCAATCGTGAACATCCGAAAGCGAGATAAGATGCAACCATGAAACCCTTTTGACACGAATGTGAGTGATTCAGGCTCTATGCATTAGAAATAATAATACTAGTACTGCTCGACATCCTTTGTAAAATTTTAAAGCATTAATTTGGAAGAGTATTTACCTTATTGCCTGATGGTTGAGCTGGGCACATGAGTTCTGTACACACTCTTGCCATGCAGCCACATCTGTGGTCTTGCCAGCTGGGGGCTGTGGTAATTCATATCTGCAAATACACCATTAGCACCTCACAGAGTTCAGCCAATTTCAGGTATACGAATATCTTAATTTATGTTGAAAAATGACTTTTCCATGTATATAAGCAAATCGGCAGCATTGTGTTGTATCTGATAAAATATCTGGTTTGGGTGAAAACTGTACACACCGTTTCATGCTGAGTATATCCATAGGTAATCGAGCTGACAGTCTTTCAAACTCATTCTTCATTACAGGTGTCTGTGGAAAGAGAGCAGTCGATGATTTAACAGTATTAGTAACCATGTTTTAATACTTGCTAGAGCTTTGCTTGCAAAGGAAATGTGAAAAATTTTAATACGTTACATACATACCGTATAGGAATTTCCATAGTAACATTAATTATAAAGAGTTTCTTACCTCAAACATTTCATAATTTGATGTTGGAAGATAATCAAGATAATTCTTGGTGGGTCTATATCGCCTAGTTTCTTCTTCTACCAACTCCAATGCCTAAATAATTATACAATGTATGAATCAACGGAATATAACAAATTGATTTGACGCATGGGAGAGATATAGATGAATGAGTCACATGTCAACTTGACTAACGTGTCGAGTTTACTCGTCTGGAGCTCGAATTTCTATTTGATGCTTATTCAGGCCTGCTGCCTATGGACGCCCTCACAATCACATGCACTTGGAACGTTTCAATAAAAAAATATGGTGAATAAACACGAAATGCATTTACTACCAAAGTCTTAATGTCTACTCTCTTTTGCCTATTATTGCCGATAACATCCTGTAAATGCCGTTGAAATGATCCTCTGTAACACACAAGTACACTGAACGCACGCCGCTGTGCACAAACAACAATAATTACGAGTTTTTTCTGTTTTACTTTCACGGCATTTACAGGAAGTTATCAGCAATAATAGGCGAAAGAAAGTAGATAAACATTAAGACTTTGGAAGTAAATACATTTCGTGTTTATTTACCATATTTTTTATTGAAACGTTCCAAGTGCCTACAGGTAGAAGCCCTCTGCTGTTGTACACCACCTTTTTCAGTTTACGTTTTTCAAGCCAGTTTTCAGTACACGTATTTGTGTTTGAATTATCAATTAAATGCAATAACTGAATAAGGATTTAATAATAATAATAATAGACGTTTCAACGTCTGCACGTGTGAAACATTAAATGAATTAGGCCGTGAGTATATTTGCCTAAGGACGTGGATATTCGTCCGAGCATCGGACACCTGTTCGTATGCGCTATTCGTCCGAGCAGTTGCTGCGCATGCGCTGTTCATGTTGTATTACATAAATGTAATATAATGCTAGTCTAGGGAGTCGCCTACTCTCCAACCTAACTCTAATACTAACCACAATCTAAACCTACCACTAATTATTTAACTCTAACCTAACTCTAATACTAACCACAATCTAAACCTACCACTAATTATTTAACTCTAACCTAACTCTAATACTAACCAGTAACCACAATCTAAACCTACAACTAATTA